AAATTCTTACTCCGGAGCTCCTTATGGCCTTTCTTTGTTTTTTTTTCTTGGTTACTGCCGATCCACATTTTTCTTCGTTCTCTCGCAAATGCATCCAGCTTCTGCTCTTTTCACATAGCTTGCATTAGACGCTTGTTTTATTGGAGTATAAGATGCCAGTGACAAGATCCAGTGGTGCAGCTACTAAATCTACCGAACCTGAAGAACGTGTTGAACTTGGTTCGGATGACATGGACGAGACCTTAGAGGAAGAGGTTGAGTATGAAGAAGTAGAGGAAGAAGTTGAAGAGGAAGAAGTGGAAGAAGAGGAAGAATTTGAAGAGGAAGTAGAGGAAGAGGGAGAAGAGGAAGAAGATGAAGATGATGTTCATGGACGAGATGTCGGACAGGAGCCTGTTGGCGACGATGACATGGAAAGTTCTGAAGCTGATGAGGAGTTAGAAAAGAAACATGCTGAGCTTCTTGCACTTCCTCCACATGGTTCAGAGGTGTATCTTGGTGGGATTACACCTGTTACATCTGAAGGTGACCTCAGGCGCTTTTGTGAATCTATTGGCGAAGTTACAGAGGTAAACATTAGTTGCATTCTCATAGAGCATTTTTTTCCTCTCATTTTTTACTCTGTCATTCGAAATATGTAATTTGCATGGACCTGCATATATTGGCAGGTTAGAATAATGAAGGGAAAGGACTCGAAAGAAAGCAAGGGATATGCCTTTGTAACCTTCAGGACAAAGGAACTAGCTTCTAAGGCTATTAAGGATCTTAATGGTTCTGAGTTGAAGGTAATCAGTTTGTTAACCTCTACATACAGACATATATTAACATGCATAATGATACATAAGGAAAACTATTTTAATTTGAGCGAATGCCTGTTGATTGTCATGTTAGTTCAGGATGTTGGGTTTGTTTATTGATATGTGTTCTGTAAAACTCTCAGGGGAAAAAGGTGAAGTGTTCATCATCCCAAGCAAAAAATAAGTTGTTTATTGGTAATATACCCAGAAACTGGGGGGAGTTGGATATGAAGAAAGTTGTGAATAGAGTAGGGCCTGGGGTTGTTGCTGTCGAACTTTTAAAGGTTAGATTTTTTTATTTTATTTATTTATTTATTTTCTATTTTGGCCTTGTTCATCTTTTTCTAAATTGTCTAGTTGATGCAGTTAATCCTGATATATCTTATATGTCAATGGTATTACATGTATATTATTTTTGTAGGACCCTCAAAACTCTAGTCGGAACCGTGGATTTGCTTTCATCGAGTATTATAATAGTGCTTGTGCTGAGTATTCAAGGGAAAAGATGTCTAATCCAAAATTTAAACTTGAGGACAATGCTCCAACTGTGAGCTGGGCAGATCCAAAAAATGCAGAATCTTCGTCTTCGCAGGTTTTTTTCCTTGCTATTTTTTCATGTGTGGTTTGACCTTTCTAGATGGTTAGTTTCCCTGCTACAATCTAGTATGAAATGTTTCTTGCATCTCATTGGTGATCCTATCGTAATTAGGACCTAGTATGATGTATGCATGTGTAGGTTTGTTCTGTTAAATTTCTGGAACGACTTCCAAAAAGTCACCTGAGGAAATCCTCAGGTTAGATTCGTAAAGTGAAAGTAAAGGCACTGGGCAAGCTTGGAGCACATCAGTCACCTTTTATTAATAATTTATTCTTATAAATTCTGGTCTGCTGGAAAGAAATTCCATGTAGTCTGTAAGATACTGATTAGGCTCGTGCTTGTACAGATCAAAGCTGTCTATGTAAAGAACTTGCCAAAAGATGTAACTCAAGATCAGCTTATCGACTTGTTTGAACGTCATGGGAAGATTACCAAAGTTGTTCTTCCTCCAGCTAAACCAGGACACGAGAAAAGCAGATACGGTTTTGTTCACTTTGCCGACAGGTCAAGCGCTATGAAAGCTCTAAAGAACACCGAGAAATATGAACTTGATGGTAACTATTCAAAACTCCTAGTGGATAGTAATTTCGCTGGTCCATGGTTGTAATGCTCCAATAGAAACGAGTTTTTTCTACTCTTATCCTAGTTTTGGGTTTTATCTGACAGGGCAAGTTGTAGAATGCTCTCTCGCGAAGCCTCAGGCAGATCAGAAAACGAGCGGGATATCAAGTTCTCAAAAACCAGCTCTATTACCAACCTACCCACCTCGCATGGGATATGGTTTGACACCTGGCTATGGGGCTTTAGGTGCCGGATATCCTGGTGCAGGCTTTCCACAAGTAAGTCCTCTCTCTATTTTTTTTTTTTCTTTTCTATCTGTTAACCATTCACTATCGAAATTTATCTGCCACCTAGCTTATGTGATACCGTATAATTTTATTCTGTGTAGCTATATTGTCTGATATTTGATATGCCGTATTGCAGCCACTGCTCTATGGAAGGGGAGCTTCTCCTGGCATGGCCATGATGCCCATGCTTATGCCTGATGGCAGAATTGGATATGTCCTGTAAGTGAATAAAATACTATTCTTTGAAACTTGAAAGACTGACCATACAGTGATCAATCTTTTGAAAAAGAATCAATCAAAAAAATAGAAAACGTGTACAAAATTCATTGTAGCTGTAGTCTATGGCTGCGTTTGGTAAACATATAGCTTATAGCTTATGTGATTAGCTTGTATACGTTTGGTAAAACTAGCTGATAGCTGATAAGTAATTTTCGAGCTTATAGCTAATAGCTTATGACTTAAAGCTGAAAAGCTAGTTTATATGATAAATGTGTTTGGTAAAATTAGCTGATAAGCTAGCTGAAATAAAATTTTCAACGAGCTTATTTGAAAAGCTATCCAAAGAAGCTTATCAAATAAGCTCGTCCTACCAAACGAATCTTATTTAAATATAGGAAGCTTATAAGCTAACCAAATAAGCTACAAGCTAGCTTATTTGTGTACCAAACGTTAGCTTCCTGTATTCAAATAAGTTTGGTTTGGTAGGATAACTTTTTTAAAAAGCTCGAGCTTATCTCATAAGCTTCCTTGAGTAGCTTTTCAAATAAATCCATTGCATTTTTTATTTCAGCTAGTTATCACAGCTAATTTTACCAAACGCTTTTATCATATTAGCTAGTTTTTCAACCATAAGTCATAAGCTATCAGCTATAAGCTCGAAATTCACTTAAAAGCTATAAGTTAGCTTATCAGCTAGGTTTACCAAACATAACCTATATATAGTATAGCAACGCTATGAATAATCACTCCAAATACTATCCTTGAGACTTGACATAATTACAAAAGGAGCTCAAATGTTGTTTGAATTGTGAATGTTGATTGATTTTTTTTTTTTTTTTTGG